CAAACGGAGATATATTTTAAAATTCTGGCAGTTTAATGCCTACAAAAATGGCTTGTAGGGACTACAACAAGTTACTTCCCGGGTTTGTGACGTAACAAACCCAGATTAACCCTGCCCTCGGGAAAAGGCAGCAAAGGGGGCGAGGCCATGCTGCGCTGCTTTAGAGAAGAGGAAGAGAAAACTAGAGGTGCACGTAAAAATCTAGTCATATATGAATAGCGATTCTGTCTTCTAACGATTCTAATGAATTCATACGTTTCAAAACAACAAACAAAAAACATAGGCCTACAATTAAAAGCTGTGCTTGCACAGGTTCTGCACGATCCTCTTCAATGATATCCTCTGCTTCTCAATTGGGCTCAAACTGATAAGCGATATTAACGACACTGTTGTTTACAATACAACCGGAGTACATACTGCTGAGGTGAGGGGCGGGACGTTTAGACGCACACTAGAGGTTTAGCCAATCACAACACACTTGGCTAGCTAACCAATCAGAGCCCGTCACCTATTTCTGAGGGCGGGGCTTCATAAAAGCAGGAAATAGACCGGAGAGCACATGGCACCAACAAACACACAACAAGCCATGTGCTCAACAAACAGACACAGGAGTGCCCTCTGATGGCCATCCAGGGCAGACCAGCCGATAACCGTGACAGTATTATTGTGTTTGCCTGGAAGGCAAACATCCATAGAACTGCAGCACAAGCCTGTCAATTTTCCATCAGTTTCAAATCCACAAAAAGTTAGATCACATCTCAACAGAATAATACAAAGATATGAGAACAAAACGCTCTGGTTACTGACGTAACCTCGGTTTCCTGAGATAAGGGAACGGGTGTTGAGTATGGGGAAACTCCTGTTTACTCTAATACTAAAGCCTGATTTGTTCATGTTTGTGTAGTTGCACAAATCAATGGCATTTTAGCCCACCAGAATGGGTGGAGCCGACCCCTATATAAGTCACCACGGAGCACCATTTCATCAGAATCATTAAACTGAAGTTACAGTCATCGATTTGCATGCAGCTTATAGCATGGCTAGTGACACAACGCTCGTTCCCTTATCTCAGGGAACTGAGGTTACGTCAGTAACCGGAGCATTGCCTTTCGAACGTTCTCTCACGTTGTGTATGGGGAATGCATCTAATCACGCAGTGATATGAGCAGATACAGAACGAAGCCTGCTCTGCGAGCCCAGTCTCAGAGCACCTAAGTTAAGGGCCCCTAAGAACATGAGCCTAACTAAGTCACAAGCAATAGCTGAGGACTATAGATATTACCATTTCCACCCTTGGGGAGAAATAGGCAGATTAAACAGACAAAATCCGTGCCTGCAGGGCAGGGATGTCTAAGTTATAGAATCTGGCAAAAGTGGACGCCGACGACCAGCCAGCGGCCACACAAATGTCACGTATAGAAATCCCGCTGGACCACACCCAGGAGGAGGCCATTCCACTAGTGGAGTGGGCCTTCACCCCTATAGGGCATTGCAGGCTTATGCCTCAGAAAGCAATCAAAAAGCTGAATAGACTAGAGTGCTCAAAGTACACTCTAAGGGCCCTAACTGGGCAGAGTGAATTAGAAGCCTGCTCACTATCTGCAGCGGGGAGTGCCAGGAGGGTGACAATCTGAGCTCTGAACGGAGTTGAGAGCACCTTTGGTACATACCTGTGTCTTGACCTAAGGACAACCTTACAGTCGTTAGGTACAAACTCAAGACAGGGCACACTGACTGACAGTGCATGCAAATCACCCACTTGCTTAAACGATGCTAATGCCAAGAGCAGAGCAGTTTTTAGCGACATGGGCCGCAATTCAGCCAAGTGGAGCGGCTCGAAGGGAGGGCCCCGAAGGGCGCTTAGGACTACTGACAAGTCCCAAATCGGCACAGACTGAGGACGAGGAGGATTCAATCTCCGGGTGCCCTTCAAGAACTTTACAATCAGATCGTGTCTGTCGATCAATTGGCCAGCTTCGAGGGAACGGTTTGCTGTGACAGCTGCCACATAAACTTTGAGTGTGGAAGGGGCGTGCCCGTTGTCCAGCAACTCTTGTAAGAAGGTTAGCATCATCAAAAGGGACCGGATCCAGGCTTCGTGCGAAACACCAGTCACGAAAGACTGACCATTTAAGGGCATAAAAACGTCTTGTAGACGGTGCTCTAGCCTCTAAAATGGTGCTGCTCACTCTCGCTGTGAGCTGCATAGTGTCCTGTCGAGGCTCCATACTGTACATGAAGGCTCCACAGCTCTGGCCAGGGATGCCAAATCATGCCTTTCGCCTGAGAGAGAAGGTCCTTCCTCAATGGTATCAGCCATGGGGCTGCTGTTGACAGCTGCACTAGCTCGGGGAACCACACCTGATTTCTCCAGAGTGGGGCCACCAGGAGGACTGAGTATTTGCCACACCCATATCACCCTGTAGCCCAAGACTGGTTGCCCACTGAGGCTAAGCAGGGTTGAGCCTGGTCAGTACCTGGATGGGAGACCTCCTGGGAAAACTAGGTTGCTTCTGGAAGAGGTGTTAGTGAGGCCAGCAGGGGGTGCTCACCCATACCGCTTTTCCGGTGCTGGAGCCCAAATGTAAATGCGCTTTTCCACTCAAAAAAATCCTAGGCCGGTGCCCACATCTTGGTCCCGAACCGGCCCTGAAACCTTGCTGGTCTTCAACTTACAGACCGCAGTTTGAAAAGCGCCATTTTTTAAAAGTTATTGGAGATCAGGCAAGTAAACCACAATGAGTAAATGTCAGTTCAGTGGTCTGCAGAAGAGACCAATGCTCTCCTCGCTATCTGGACGATGAGGGAAATGCAAGACAAACTGGAAAATAGCATGAGGAAAAAAAATTGCATTTATGAGGAGATAGCGGGGAAAATGACAACAGCGGGGTTTAACCGAACTGCCGACCAAGTGGTAAACAAGTAAAAAAAAAATTTAAACAAACAAAAACTTGTCTGTATGAGTGTCATGACAGTAGTTTACAGTATGTCACTGTACAGTATGCTGCTTCAGCAAGAGAGAACAAGCGATTTCCGGTCACATGTTGTTGAGGTGGAGGGTTCTACCCCCTGTCGGATTAAACAGCAGCCGGTTCTGAATGAGTGCCACTCTTGCTTGGGCAAAGCACCAGCTTTGATGACCTGAGAAAGCAGGACTATCAGGGGGGAAGGCATACAAGCGAGCGCTGGGCCAGTCGTGGGCTAGGGCATCTCGCTGCATTGAGAAATAAGTTGGGCAGTGAGAGTTGTCTTCTGAGGTGAAGAGGTTGACCTCTGCCCTCCCGAAGACAGACCAAATTTTCTGAACCATCTCAGGATGTAGGGTCCATTCTCCCAGAGCTACATTGCCTCTGCACAGCATGTCTGCGCCCACGTTCAGACTGCCTGGCACATGAACCATTCTTAGTGAGAGGAGTTTGTTCTGTGCACAAAATAGGAGACGTCGAGCCATCCTGTAAAGGGGCATGACCTGAGACTGCCTTGGCGATTGATATAAGCTTGCACCGTCGTGTTGTCTGAACGAACCAGGATGTGGTGCCCCTCCAAGGCTGGCAGAAAGGTTTTCAGGGCTAAGAAAACTGCCATCAATTTGAGGCAGTTGATATGCAGGCATTGCTTGTGGGTCGACCAGGAGCTGGACACCGGATTGCCCTAACAGTGTGCCCCAACCCGAGTTGGAGGCGTCTGTTGTCACTACCTACCTCCTGGAGGGCAGTCCCAACTGCATATCTGATTGAAACAGGCGGGGAGTTGTCCAGAGGGCCACAGCTCTAATACGGGACGCGGATTTTGAGCCAAAACTGAAGAGGCCACATGTGCAGCAGGCCTAGAGGAATCACAGAGGAATCGGCCGCCATGAGGCCGAGCAGCCTCTGGAAACCTTGAGGGGATGTGAAGTCCCTGGTTTCAAAGACGTTGCCAGTCGCTGAATAGTCAGGGACCAGTCTGGCGCAATCCATGCCCGCATGTAATATTATGTGCTTTGTACTGTAATGTTTTCTCACCAGTGAATGAGACATGAGGTAATCTGACAGCACTGCATTCAACCCTCCACCAACACCGCCTCTCACCATGTCGCTGGTTAGTTCTGGTCCTCTCTGGTCTGACTGTGCACGTTCATGTGTTTTGGAGGAGGCGTGGCTTTGGAGAGTGATTTGCAGGGAGGGTGGGATCTTATTCTTTCCAAGCTAGCTTTCCATTGCTAGCCTCTCTGAAACTGCCTAACCTTAACCCTATAAAGCCTACTGTATCATATAGAAATCTCTAGGGACTCAACATTATCAGTATTATCTACAAATTATCTATCTATCTTATCAGTATTATCTACAATCTATCTATGTCTATCTACTATCTATGTCTTCTGTCATCTGATCGATAGTTCATACTTATTTAGCAAGTAAAACGTCTTTTAGTATAATTGCAAAAACATCCACTTTCAGGTTGTGGTTCACATGTCTTTTTGCTGTAAAATGCTTAATGATTTTTATAAAGTAAACATAACTTTCAGTAATATTTCACTTACTAGACTGAAGCAACTATATATATATATATATATATATATATATATATATATATATATATTAATCATTATTATTATTAATCTTGTTAAAATGTGAGTATCGAATATAATCATCAGGCTTTTGAAGAATGTTTATTTGTTCATCTCTCAATCATTATTGCATTAATGCCTTGCATTATATGTTTTGAAACCCAAGACCTCATAAAACTAAGCATTTAAATATCATATTACTAAGACCTATTATTGGGTGATACAGTGACAACTGATATGTATATCATTGTATGTAAATAGTCTGTTATACTATAGCAAATAACATCTCATTGATTTGCATTTCAAGCTATCAAAATGTTATCTTATAAATATAAATATCAGCAACTGCACCAAATTGCATATTTTTGCTCAGTTTGGGCCTCTGAATAAAACGGAGGTCTTTTTTCCTCGGCTCCATACTGTAAACTATTCAATTTCCAAAAATGAGATAATTGGACTATTAGAGGACTATTGTTTTATATGTCAGGTTTTCCAGGAAAAAAAAGGTTGGAATTTGTTCATATGTGACGCTGTCAATAAACAAACAGTTTCACTAACATTTCTTACCACTAGATGGCAAAATAACAACCTTAATCACTCTTTGGGTTTCTTTATTGTTTTAAAAAAAGAGGATGGAAAGTTGTTTTGGAGTCAAGGGGCTGAGAGAGACAATGATTTTGCACTGTCTGGCAAAGACACACACACAAACATAAACACACACAACCACACTCTCTCCCACACTCCATCAATCTAGCAGCAACTGGGGCAGCGAGCAGAAGTGTGTCAGACTTTGGGGTGCATGTGCACATTTACATGTGTGCATTTGCCTTCTAGAAACTTCTTTATAACCAAGAATTTTTCTTAGAGACATTTTCGTTTCTTTTCTTCTGTAAAGCATTCACTCTGCTGCCACAAGACAGTAGAAGCAAAGACAAATCTAGTCTTTTGGAGAATGGTTTCTCCAAATTAACTCCACAGAACAGCTGCACGGATTACGGACTGTCAAGGACCCCGTGGAACCTTACTTTTCTCTCATGGTCGCTTTTGTATTTTTCCTGTAGTCCTGACTTTTGCTTGACTCAAACAGTGCTTTACAACATGTGCAGGCTTTGGAGGATAGCAGTTTTGCTCTGTGTCAAATTGGTGGACACTGCAAATGGAAATACAGGACTCCTGCCTGAAAGAGGGTCAGCAGCTTCCTCCTGCTATGGGGGTTTTGACCTCTACTTTGTACTAGACAAGTAAGTTATCCTGTGATTTACCACTTTTTCTTATCAATACATGGTTATATGTATGATAATACTGTAAATGCTGTGTTGGCATCTGTAGACCATACAAGACTCACTATGACTGAGGTCTTTGGGGCAAGGTTTTGTTAGAGTGAGGAAGGCTAAGTTAAGTGATGCTTTTCATTTATTAATGTTTTATCACATTTTTTGATGGAAACTGGCCTGAAGAGTCACATTTTGATACTTTGAAGATCATTTTAAAAAGGAATGCCTATGCCATGAACGACTTTACATTTTCTTCATAATTTTTGCTCAATGACTTTTAATCCAAGTCAGTTCTCCACAAGTTACCATAGGTTTTACATAGTTAACATAACTACAGGTGTAGATCATCACATTAACTGCATGATCCACTAACGTTTGAAAACCACAAAATACCCAAATACATTTTTTTCCATGTCATATACAGTGTATATTGCTCTGCTCTGTTTTTTTAAATATTGTTTTAATTTATGTGAAGTATTTTGCTTGAGAAGAGTGCATATGCTATCTTTCTTTAAAATAAATTCCATTTAGTTTGATTGCAAGAGAGAGAGATAGAGATAAATAACAGTAAAGATGTTTTCCTCTGTAACATATGTCTCATCCAACAACAATAAGCACTGAGCCAAAAAGACTGCAATATAATGATAGATTAAACAACTGGGTTAAGAGCCAATTTGCCATAATAGTTCCACATAGGCAGTTTAATAGAAAAGTAATGTACACTGAAAAAAAAAGGTGTTGGATTTAGTTGGAAACAGTTTTCACTCTGAAATTGCTATTTCAGAAATAATAGGCTAACAAAGAAACAGCAAGCAACATTTTGAATTATATGTGAAAATTTGAGGTTGGGGAAAGACTGATGTACAGTACTAGTGCTTTCTTAAAATGTACTCCAGTGATCACTTTTTATAGTTAAGAAATTTAACACACACACACACACACACACACACACACACATATGGACATACAATAGATTGGATGTGGGTCACAGTTTCCAAGTATTTCGTTTTAGTCTAAACTTTAATGCTACTTGGCAACTTTTCCCCAGAGTGTTATGTCCATGTTCGACGCATGTGTTTTAAGTATGACAAACACAGCTGGGTTTCCTAATACATGTAAATCATTCCTCACAGGCAGCCTGTCAGTTCAGCTGTGAATGTGATGTTATTGTTGTACAGATTCATACCGTTATACTGTGACATACGTCAACTAATTTCCCCGTTACTCCACTGCCTTGGATATTACAAATCAAAGTCTGTCAGATCACGTTCATTTTTGTTTTGTTCATTTGTTTTTTCTTTTTCAGTAAGAACATTTTCCTGAATAAGACAATGTTGATTGTTATTGTATATTAGTTCAAATAACATTTATAATGTAATATTCATGGACTGTTCAGTCTGATCAGCACCTAGTGGCTGAGCAACAGCATGATGGCACTTGAAATAATAAAAAAACATGTGTTTTCAGAGGTTTCTGTAGTCCCTTTCATCATCTTTCATCATCTACAAGACTTGCGAAGTCAAATATTATGGTTCTACTAGTTACACAAAATTAATTCTAGAAATGCTGTGGGAGAATAGAGTTAATGAAAGCCCTGATGGCAGAACGTGCCAACAAAGCAACTAGCTGTAGTCCAAATGTCTGGGAATGTATATGTATATATATATATATATATATATATATATATATATATGCTACAATGGGAATCAAGCTCATAATTGCTCATAATTAATTTAACATTGTAGCTTTTCTTATTTATTTACAATAAATAAATAAATAACTCCCCTTTTTATAGTATAAACCTTTGAATCCCTCTGTACTGTTGAAGCAAAAGAGCAAAGACAAAAACAGTCAAATGCATTGGCAATTGTTAAGTCAAGTCAAGTCACCTTTATTTATATAGTGCTTTATACAATACAGATTTCAAAACAGGTTTACAGTTATAAACAAGAAAATGATTCAGTGATGCAAACATAAATCTATTTTGCTGTAAAGCTGCTTTAGAAAGACAATAGTAAACATTCATTATAAAGTTGAATTCAGTTCATTGTTGATTCAGTTCAGTTCAATAACTGTGTAAAGTCAATCAATAATGGAATGAGTTTAATTCGTCTATAAAGCAGCTCTGGAGAAAACAGTGATGCCATCATCCAGCTCACTTCACTTCCCATCCAATAATGTCAGTGCATTTAAGTCATTAATATTGCCAAATGGTAAGTGTCCCTAACTAATAAAGCCAAAAGGCAACAGTGGCAAGGAACCCAAAATCCATCGGTGACAGAAATGGTGAAAAAAACTTTGAGAGAAACCAGGCTCAGCCAGGGAGGCCAGTTTTCCTCTGGCCAATAGTTGTCAGATTCATGCATTTTAAATACTACAGCAGATACAAACACAACTGGTCATAATCCGTCATGCAGTGTAACAGTCTATTAAAAACCTTCAGCTGACAAGAGATGTTATGGAATTAATTAAGCATGTAAAACAGGAGCCTTCTAGCAATCATGGCACAATGCCCACCATTAAGTTCTGCTTGTGTTTAACATAGATTAATTTATCAACACAAATCAATCAGCAATCACTTGGATGTGAGTTATGGGAAAGTCAGTGTTTGGTTGCTCTACTTATGGGCCATTTCTGTGGCTCCACTTTATTGCTGTGGGCTTGATGGTTTGGCTCCTGTGCTCAGGAGAGTCTGTGAAGGCCATTTACCGTTCTCCTCCATTCATTCCGCTCAAGCGCTTTTGCAGACAGAGCAACAAGAGAACAGTTGGGAAACAGTGGTGGGAATGAAGACACATGTGTTATGAAACTAATAATATCACTCAACTTTAATGACCAGGAAGGCCTGCTGTTGTCTCTGGAATAGTTCTGGAATACTTCTGCTTCTGGTTGGTCAATCACATTCTGTGATCAAACTATTTGAACATTGTCCCAAATTTTCAACATCCTGGTCCCTGGTCCCTTTTCATGTCTCTGCAAACTTGTTATAGATCCACTTCTGTAAGGACCACTATCGTCAAAGATGATTGACAATTAGCATACAGTTTGGATTGGCGGTATGGTTCTGTTCTGGGCAAGAACTCCATGCGCATCCATGCAGCCTAGCATGGATGAGAGCAGGGAGAGCAGCGATAACCCCCCCAGGGTAAACAGAACAGAACCAACATAAATGTATTGCAGATATTGTTAAAGTTCAATAATTTTATGTACACATTTTAGAAGTTGTCTGATTTAAAGGAGAATCAGAAGGCTGAATCACGACTGACAGAGGAGGAGTTGGGGATGGAGGAGGGTGATTAGCTATTGAGCAATGCGAAAACTGCTGATAATACTGAGGGACCTTAAATATGAATGCTTAGATAGGTGTCGTATTCCCATAGGTTGATGGGGATCAGCTGAGAGTCAGCTGATGCGAGCTTGACTAACGTGACCTGCCAGAACTAACGCTATATATATATACATGACTACCAAATTAATAAATAAATACCTTCAAGTTTAAATTGCTTGTTAATAAAGTATTTATCAGCATAAACACTTTGTTACTGTACTTAAAGCAACTGTATGTTAGTTTTTTACTTTGAAATATCAGTTTCAAAGTCATTCTGATAATACATTAACTTCTAATAAGGCGAATGGCTTTTTGTTTCTGTTTCTGTCTTTTCTATTTCTTTCCCTCGCTCCCGCCAAACGTCTGTTCTGGAAGTATGTAAATTTAGCGAAGAATCAGAAGGCTGAATCCTGACTGACAGAGGAGGAGTTGGGGATGGAGGAGGGTAATTAGCTATTGAGCAATGCGAAAACTGCTGATAATACTGAGGGACCTTAAATATGAATGCTTAGATAGGTGTCGTATTCCCATAGGTTGATGGGGATCAGCTGAGAGTCAGCTGATGCGAGCTTGACTAACGTGACCTGCCAGAACTAACACTACGCTATATACTGTATTTATATATATATATATAAAGTATATAGAATGCAAGAACTTTGAAGCTCAATACACACACACACACACACACACACATATACAGTATATATATATATATATA